AGATCAGAGGGCAAAGCCAACCACCAGTCAGCCATAGAGGCGAGGCAGTGGTGGCACAGACCTTTAATCCCAGGACTTGGGACCTCATGGCTTTGCTCCCAGTACTTGGGAGGCACACACGCCTTTAATCCCAGTGCTAGGGAGGTGGAGACAGGAAGTGATATGGCTGGACAGAGAAAGGAATATAAGGCGGGAAGAGACAAGAGCTCAGTCCTTCAGGCTGAGGAGATGATGAGGTGAGAGGTGACTGTGGCTTGTTCCTTTATCTCTCTGATCTTTCAGCATTTACCCTGATATCTGGCTCTGGGTTTTTATTAAAACCAAGTAGGATTTGTGCTACACCATTGATCAAATAATACATATTACAAATTGCTATAACTATGAACTGAAAGTTATTTGTGGCTCTATGGTGACCTGGGCCAGCAGGTCATTCTTCAATGACAGGTCCTGAGAGAGAGAGAGCACCAGGAGATCAGAAGATAAGGAGATAGACATGTTTGGGATTGGAAGGTGCTGCATAAGCTATGCCTTGTGCCAAGCAAGCTTATTAAGAAGTTTAGGCCGGGCAGTGGTGGCGCACGCCTTTAATCCCAGCACTCGGGAGGCAGAGCCAGGCGGATCTCTGTGAGTTCGAGGCCAGCCTGGACTACCAAGTGAGTTCCAGGAAAGGCGCAAAGCTACACAAAGAAACCCTGTCTCGAAAAACCAAAAAAAAAAAAAAAAAAAAAAAAGAAGTTTAGCGTCTTATGTACTACTTCTAGGGGAGACTTGGGATGGAGTCAGCAGAAGCTATCATACAATGGGAGGAAATCAGCAGGAAGCTTATCAGGCGATGCTGCACAAGGGGCACACAGGGTATCTCAAGAACCTTACGGACCAAGCACACTGCAGCCTTGGGACTGATCATTGTAGCCCCTAAGGGTGGGAAGAGTTGGGTTCTCAGGATATGGAGCTGAAGCTCCCCAAGGCCATAGCCAGCTCTGCCAAACATGTTCCTGGTTTTGGAGGAGGATGTATGTTCCTTCTCCATACATCAGGGCCTCAGGGAAAGCCTTGGGTTGGTCTAGCCCTCAACACTAGGGAACGAATCTGGGTTCTGCTAAGTGTCACATCCTGGCCCATCTACAGAAAACTTGCTTGGGACCTTTCCAATCATTTGTCTCTGCTGAAAAATCGGTTCCATGAAGACCAGGTCCTTGCCTGTCATGTTTCTTGTTGACACAAGCAAGGTATTGCAATAGAAATGTTTGTTGAATGAATTAATGAGTGAATAAAAATGATGCTTTTTTGAGGATCATTTATTCTGGCTAACTTATATTCAGTAGCCACTTTGAAATGACCCTTTTCATCAAAACAAGGTCTTCAGTGAAGGTCATGATAAAGGGTTTTTTCATGAGAGTGGGAGACCCCACTTTTGGGTCTTGGTTCACCTTGATCAGCTGATCTTGGATAGAAAAATAAGATCAGACTTAACATAGAGAAAATTAACACAAAAATAACATGTTCCTGGAGGAGCTGGATAGTCTGGAATATTTTCTGCCTAGGATTCTGCTAGTGGCTAAAAAGTATGTGGGCTCCTTTTGGTTGGTACAGAGCTGGAGAGAATGTATCTATTTGGCTGGCTTTCTGAAGGCATACCAGCATCCTGCATTATGATGGACAGTCACACTGAGTCCCTTCCAAAGCACCAGAGAAAGTTCTCTTTGGAAGTCCTGCAGCTCCCTGACACCCAGAACCTCAACCCACTCGGTCAATCATCACTGAACACCTAGGAGTTCAAATGAGTCCCAGCCCATCTACTGTTTTCTGAACCCACATTTCTGACAGTGCACCCATGTCTTCCCAAACAACCCTCAGAAAGCTCACAGCACAACATACAGAAGGATTCAGCCTATGGTATTCCAAATATGCCTTGACATGTTGTGTATTTTAAGCTGAAGGGAGTAAGGAGATTACTCTCATTATGTCCTACTTTTCTCCCATAAAGCCGGTCTTACAAGAATTCTTTGACCTATCTTTCCTAAAAATAGACTCTCCCAGAAAGCCCTACCCCATTAAGAGCCAACAAATCTGAACAGACAGGTGTTGCCAAATCCTATCCTTTTCCCTACTGCCATGAGAGCAGACTCTTATCCTCAATCATTCTCTACACAACTGCACCCCAACCCCTGCCCCCCAAGACCCCAAAATCAGGTTACACAGCTCTCACCTCAAAGAAAATAAAAGTAGTTTATTCTGGAGCCAAATACAAGTAACTGGATCCAAGAACATAGATTCAGGTACCAAAAAACACTATGCTCCCATGTGGTGTCCGTTTCATGAAGTTTTTCTGGGAACAGCACCAAGAAAGTCATAAATCAAGGCATTTTCCAAACACATCAGTAGAAACATCAGGTAGGAATATTATAGTAAAGCAAGGAAGTCTCCCCTATAGGCATTAGGTACTACCTGAAGATATTCTTAGCCTTTGGTCTGAAGTCTCCTGTATCATATAAACATATTAATAAACTTATATTAACCTGTCTTTGTTATACAGAATTAGCCATGACCTCATGAAAGGGAATGAAAAGGTATTACTTTATTTCTCTCCTTCATTAAGGAGGATCTAACTTCCCAAAGGAGACACTGATGATTTGGAAGAACTGCATTACACTAATAAGAGTTTGGGTAGAGAAGCAGTGGGGTGAAGAGTCTAGGTTGATCTAGGAAAAGCCAAATTAACATTGTGTTTAATTAAATAGACTTTCAACTTACTGCTATCCTGAAACTCAATGCATTTCAGCTCAGTACGACTTTAGTGAGCACTCACACAATTATATAGCAAGAATACCAATTTTCTTTTTCTTTTTTTTTTTTTTTTTTTTGGTTTTTTTGAGACAGGGCTTCTCTGTGTAGTTTTGGTGCCTGTCCTGGATCTTGCTCTGTAGCCCAAGCTGGCCTTGAACTCACAGAGATCTGCCTGGCTCTGCCTCGGAGTGCTGGGATTAAAGGTGTGTGCCACCACCGCCCGGCAAGAATACCAATTTTCTACTACCAAGTTTGTGAAGTGTTTCCTGTAATACTTCTAATTAAACCAAAATGGCCAACCATATTTACAAATTTCTTTTGAAATTTGGGTTGTTTTATGAAACGAAACCGCATAGAAACACTGGACATTATCTTAGCTAACTGAATAAGCAGAAGTGCAGATAAAAGTGGATTATCTAATCTCTTATAGAACCCCTTCCATCACAAAATTCTATTTGTATTAAAATTATTTTGTTTTATGCATATAGTGTTTTGCTTGCATGTATGTCTTTGTACTATGTGTGTGCCTGGTGCCCACAGAGGCCAGAAGAGGAATTAAACAGATGGTTGTGAGCTGCTGTGTAGGTGCTGGAAATTGAACCTGGGTCCCCTGGAAGAGCAGTCAGTGCTCTCAACCGCTGAGCTGTCTCTCCAGTCCAACAACACACACATTTTGAACTTGAGCGTCTGAGGTTGAGCTTTAGCAGGAAAATAGGAGAATCGTGCTGTCAGCTTCTTTCCACTGTGACCATCAACTTATGATGGTTTATTTTGGCTAAAGGTTTCAGAACATGGTTGCTGGTTTTAGTTGCCTGCTTGTCTGTGGGGGAACAGCACCTTACTCTATCAGACACAGCACGTTATCATGTTTGCATGGAGTGACTTTAGACCCTGCTTACCTCATAGCTGGGAGGAAGCAAAGTAAAACAGGAAGCAGCCAGGATCCCAATGTTGCCTTCAAGAATGACTACTTCTGGTCACTAGACCCCACTTGCTAAAGCTTACGCCACCTGCCAAGAACACCACAGGCTGGCCAGCAAGCCTTTTAACACAGAGGGGATTCTTACCCAACTCATACCATAGGCAAAAACGGCAAACATGAGATGCAGGAAAACAAACAAACAAACACAGGCTTGGGCTGGGTTTATCCCTCAGTGGTGGTGAAAACATGTGGGAAGTCTTGGGTTCAATTCTTAGAGGAAGAAAAAGTTGATAGTGCTTAGTAGGTTTCAGTAGAACCCCAATCCTATTCTTCAGATCCCCAGACATAACCAAAATTCTAAGTTTGTTGAGTACCTACAATGTACTCAATAAAGTGGTAGATACAGATCCCTTGTTGCATGTACATGTGTGTTAGTACATTTTAAACTCATCAAATGGTTCTACTCATCAATGTCTACCTTTTAAATCTTCCTTAAAATTGAAAAATGTGGCATTAAAATTTGAAAAGTTGAGCTGAGTGGTAGAGACGGCTTAGTCGGTAAAGGGCTTGCCACCAAGCTTGATGGCCTGAATTGTCCCCACACCTCCAATGTGTAAGCAGAAACCTATGGGGCACGCGGGCACACACACACCACACACACTAAATGTACACACTTTAAAGGATGCTTGAAAGGCCATCATTAATTTTTACAATGTGCATCTTCCACTTGTTCCAGCTGATAGCCTTCAGCAAGGCTTGGGGAATAGTCATGCAAATGCTAGTCCTTTGTTGCTCTGTCCTTTTAGAGGCAGGCAACAGAACTCAGATAACAGGGTTTGTTTTTAAATTTGCACGAACAAGGAACGAAGCCTTTCCCTGGTTTGGAAAACGAAATCCTTATGGTCAGTGCAACAAGAGGCAGGATCTGGGTGTGTCTTAGTCTAAGCTAAAGGCTCTTCTTGAGCTAGGGTCTCATATACCCAGGCTGGCCCTGAACTTGCTATGAAGCAAAGGATTGCCTTGAATTCCTGATCCTCGAGCCTCGATCTCCCGCGATCTGGGATTACTGGCGTTGCGTCACCACGCCTTGATCCTATAGACTCTTAATGCCAAGATAGGGTAAATCAAGAGAATTGGGAATGCTGGCAGGTGTTTGCCCTGCACTCTCCAGGAATTCCGCCACGTGGACGCGGGGTCTGACAATTCCGGCCGGCAAGAAGCTTCCCAGCAGGAAGAGGCGGGGCCCGCCAAGTGTAAGGCAAAAAAAGAGCGCGCGGAAGGTCCCGGCTTTGGCGCCCACCGCACCGCCCCCGCCGCCGTCGCCAGCTCTCCGCTATGCCGGCTGCGGGCTCCCAGATGCAGTCCGCCGCTCAGCAGCAGGGCGCGGAGGCACCGCCGCACGGGGAGCTGCAGTACCTGGGGCAGGTGGAGCACATTATGCGCTGCGGTTTCAAGAAGGAGGACCGCACGGGCACTGGCACCTTGTCCGTGTTCGGCATGCAGGCGCGATACAGCCTGAGAGGTGACCGCGGCTGGTCCCCACTAACCGGAGGGACTGCGGGAGGACGCTCGGCGGGTTGGGTTGCGGAGGCGCGGGGCTGGCGGCCACGGTTAGTCCTAACCCCGGCTCTATGAATCCTAAGCTCCGAGTTCCCACCCTAGGGCCTCTGGGTGATAGCTTCTGCAGGCAAACCAGGTCCTAAAGGCCTCTTGTCCTTAACACACCCCCACCTCACCCCCATCCCCCCGTTAGGCCACCTCTCCCAAAGCCAGCTTCAACTGGTCATGGGTCCCGGAGGGATGGAGTAGAAGAAACCTGTCCGGGCTTGTCTAAACCTTGCCCTGAGGTCCCGACTTTTGCTCCTCCTCCTTCTCCATATCGCTCGTTCTCCTTAGCAACTGTTTAAAAATTGGAGCGAAAATGACTTGGGCGGTGCTAAAGAGGCGCGGAAAATGGAGAACCCAGCCCTGAGGCGGAAACCGTGGGGTTTCCCCCAACAGCCCGGGCTTTTAAAGAGGAACCGAGAGGATGTGTAAGCGTGTAGAGTGGCCCCAGGGAAGAAGTGCTCTTTGGGGGTTGCTGGCCTCAGGCATTAAGCACAGGGCTGGGTAGGGGACAGGACCTCCTAGGTGCTGGGGCTGGATGGGTTAAGGTGTCCTTTAGGATGAATGGAGAGCAACCTGACACTGACTGGTTGTACACTGGAGAGTAGCGTGTAGTGAGTTTAGACTTAGTTGGAAACTTGTTCTGGAGCTGGAAACTTAAGCAGCGACTGCACAGATTAATCCAGCGTGCGTGCAGGGCCTCCTGGAACAGTGGACTCTTGACGAACCACATACCCAGTTTGTAGTTCACTTCCTCTGCTTCTACTGTAGACAAGGTTTTTTTGTTTGTTTGTTTGTTTTTTGGTTTTTTTTTTTCAGTTCTCTCGTCTTCATTCAGCCTTCCCATGTAGATGTTAAAGATGGAAGTATTGCTCTCTTACGAAACATATACTCAGGCTGCATCCCTAGCCTGAGCCTTTCCTCTTGACCTTGTCCGTTCTGTGTTGCCTTTGGGTTCCCTGGCAACCATTCCGAAGTGTAAGCAGTTCTGTTTTTATATACTAGGTCAGTTTGCTTCCCAAATATCTTAAAACTGTTTTTCGTTTTTTAACCAGTGTGATATCATCTCTCTGCCTGGAGCCTGGTGGACTTGGGCATGGGAGCCTTTAGGTTGTATCCTAGGCCACATTTTGGGTGTTGTTACACACCAACATTCATAATGGCTCAGTAGTGGGTGAGTGGTCTTTCTTTGTGCCAGATGGTTACCCCCTGTGTCAATGCAGAACTGGGGTTTCGCTGACTTACCCCGCAGCTGGGTGGTGGTAGTTTCCAGTTTTCCTGAAGCCACTCCAGGGTTTTGTTTCCCTGGTAGTTTCCCTCTACAGAGAAAGCTGGATGATGGCTTGCTGTATGTTTACCACATTTTAACTGTGTTACAAACTGTTTTTCAGATGAATTTCCTCTGCTCACAACCAAACGAGTGTTCTGGAAGGGTGTTTTGGAGGAGTTGCTGTGGTTTATCAAGGTAAGGGTGGTGCTGCTGTTGGAAGCTGCCTGTCTTCACACCATGAGCCTGAGAAGTCAATCCTGCAGCTGTTCGCCATTCCCACGTCACTGGCTCATTTTCTAGCTTGGGCTTTAGATGCTCTTCTCTCTCCCACCCATCCTGCTTTCTTGACCAAGCTGAGCACACTGGGATAATCCAGCCCAGGCCTCTGGCACTTGCCATTCCCATTACCTAGTACCTTTTCCTTCCAAATGGAGTATGGTTCTCTCCCCTCCTTCCAGTCCCACTCAGACAACCTTGACCTTCTTCTAGTCACCTCTTTGTTTCTCTTCATAGGGAAGCATTATCCGCTGACCTATAAATCAGCTCTCCCTCTTCTGGATGGGAGATAAGTAAGTACAATGTCCTGTGAGTTCCCCAAAGGTAGAAAATCTATTTCTCCTATTTCCTGTTGTATCTCAGGACTAAAATATAGCCAGCCACATGGTAGGTACTCAGCATACACTGATTGCTGAATTGGTAGATACCAAAGAGTCAAGTAGGGTACCTTAATTATATTGGAGTAGTGTGATGACAGGGGGCAGTAGCCCCAAGTTCCTCCTCTGTATCCTGGTCCAGAAGAAGTGAGGTTCTGTCTGATGCTAGTTTAGAGTACTCCAGGAGATAAGATGAATTCTGGGCCATACTACAAGTTCAGCCCCTTCTTTAGAGTACTTGGGATGATGGCTCAGTAGGTAGAGGGATTTTTATATTAGCATCAAGACCTGAGTTCAATCCCTCCCCAGCTATCCCATAAAAATTCTGGGTATGGAATGGAGAGATGGCTCAGTGGTTAGGAGCATTTGTTTCTCTTGTTGGGGGTTGGGGGGTTGAGGGGCTGGGGTTTAGTTCCTAACATCCATTTAGTGGCTAGCCATCTGTAACTCCAGTTCAAGATATCCAACTCCCTCTTCTACTCTCCTTGGGTACTGTATGTGCTTGGTGTACAGACACATGCAGGCAAAACACCCATACACATAACATTAAAAATAAAACTTGAAAAACATGCTGGGTGTGATTGTATGTGTTTGTAACCCGAGTGCTGTAATGGGAAGGTGGACACAAGAGGATCTTCGGTGATTGCTGGCCGCTAGTCTAGCCCAAATAAGTTCTAGGTTTAGTTGGAGACCCTGTCTCAAGGGAAAAGGTAGGAAGTAATAGAGTAGAACAGCCAATATCCTCACTGGCTTCCATGGGCTCGGGTACCCATGCACATACATTTTCCAGAAAAGCTAGCTACTGATTACCACCACAAATCCTTTAGCCAGATAGATGATACATGAACAGACTGCACATGGAACACTACACAAGTCCACTTGCAGTATGATGCTTAGACATGGGGCATGTTTGATTAAGCAATTCAAAACTGTCAGATGAGATAGGAATATTTTAGGAACCTGGAGGTATTTAGAAAATTAAAGGGAAGGCTGGGGAGATGGCTCAGTGGGTAAAGGCCACACAAATCTGATAGCCTGAGTTTGGACCTCTGGAATCCTCATAAAAAAAAAAGCCCTATATGGGTAGGGCGGTGGTGGTACCCCACGCCTTTAATCCCAGCACTTAGGGAGCAGAGACAGGCAGAGTTCAGTGAGTTTGAGGCCAGCCTGGTCTACAAAGCAAGTTCCAGAACAGCCAGGAATATTACACAGAGAAACCCTGTCTTGAAAAACAAAAAACAAATAAAAAAAAAAAAAGCCCTATTTGGTAGTGCCATCTAATCCCAGTACTTCTAGGGGAGAAGGAGACGGGAATCTACTGGAAGTTCACAGGATAGCTAGCCTGGGGTGGATGATGTAGCAACAGAAAGAGAGAGAGAGAGAGAGAGACACGCCCACCTCAAATAAGGTAGAAGGTGAGAACTAGCTCCTCCATACATGCACCCTGGCATGCTTACATATCCATGTATACATACACAAAGATTTTTAAAAGTTGAAGGGAGCTGGGTGGCAGTGGCGCACGCCTTTAATCCCAGCACTCGGGAGGCAGAGCCAGGCGGATCTCTGTGAGTTCAAGGCCAGCCTTGTCTACAGAGCAAGATCCAGGTCAGGCACCAAAACCACACAGAGAAACCCTGTCTCGAAAAACAAACAAACAAAAAAAAAAGTTGAAGGGAATAGAAGAAGTGCCTTGAGGAAATTTCTGATAAGGGGTAAGGCCATTTTATAATCACTCAGAAGCCTGGCCAGGAGCAGGCTGCTTGAAGACAGGCTGCATATGGAGAGTGTACCATGGGTCGGAAATGTGTGGCCCAGAATCCTCTTTATGCCTGTTCTACTCTCGTATTTTCCAGGGATCCACAAATGCTAAAGAACTGTCCTCCAAGGGAGTGAGAATCTGGGATGCCAATGGGTCCCGAGATTTTCTGGACAGCCTGGGATTCTCTGCACGGCAGGAAGGGGACCTGGGCCCAGTTTATGGTTTCCAGTGGAGACATTTTGGAGCAGACTACAAAGACATGGATTCAGGTGAGGCGATAATAATGCCTCAGGTTTTCCGGGTGTTCTTCCTCAAAGATCCACTTTAGAGTATGGGGGATAAGTCCATATCGTGGGAGTTGATAAGTAACTGACTTTGTGAGAAGCTGTGCTGGGTTATGGCGGAGAAGCTACAAGAAAGTCTCACAAAGGCCGAATCATACTTTTGGTGGCTAGCCTTTATTGGCCATGATTGGATGCTTGGAACTTTCTATACCTTTGTCATTGACCAATAGTGGCAGATTTGGTTTGTCAGTGTGAGGGTTTAGGGTAGAAAGGGGTCCATCTGGGACGAGGTGCAGGAGTTACCTGTGATGACCATTTCCCTTTGCAGGGCTGAGGCACTAGCAAGCTTGTATGTGGCATGGTGTGTCTGGTGTCTCTGTATAGTTTCTGACTTACCCTTCCTTTCCTTCCTGCTCTGTGGGGACAGAGGGTGAAGAAAACATCTCATTTTGTGACTGGCATCTTCCTCTTTCCTGGTACTGTTTTGAGTGTCACGAGACCAGCCTCTGCCACTGTCTGGCTCATCTCTCCCTAGGACAGGTTCCAAAGTTAATGTCCCACTAGTGTATGTGTGTATATGCTCATGTGTGCAGGAAGTAGTAGATCACTGGCTGGGCAGGCACCAGCAACCTGGACAGTATGCTTTTCTTCTCAGCTCCTTCTAGCCAATGGGAAGAATTTGGGCCTTGGAGTGGTTTGAATAAGAATGGCCCCCACATAGGCCCATGTATTTGAATGCTTGGTCACCAGGGAGTGGTGTTATTTGAAAGGATTAAGAGGTATGGCCTTGTTGGAGGAAGTGTGAGGTTTTGGAAGCCAATGCCAAGCCCAGTGTCTCATCCTGCTGCCTGCAGATGTGGATGTGAGCTCTCAGCTGCTTTTCCAGCACCATGTCTGCCTGCATACTGCTAAGTTTCTCGCCATGCTGATAATAGACTAAACCTCAGAAACTATAAGCAAGCCCCAAATAAATCCTTTCTTTTATAATAGTTGTCATGGAGTCATGGAGTCTCTTCACAGCAATAGAACACTGACTAAGATGGGTCTAGTATCCAAATTCTTCAGTAAAGCCTGAAGTTGTATTTGTCTGTGGAATTCTTTGTGGACTAGGAATGGGCAAATTGGTAAAGGTAGAAAGAAGAGAAGAGATTGCTGGGCTTGGGGTGTCACATGATAGTTAGCATAAGTGGGCATAGAGTTATTTGACAAGTTCTAGAAGTGAATAGTGTGATGGTTACATATAGTGTGAATGAGCTAAAGGTGATTGCTTCCAAGCCTGGAGACCTGAGTTTGCTCCTCAGTAGCCCATGCGGTAGAAGGAGAGAATCTATTCTCACAGGTTCTTTGACTACACATGCCATAGCATATGCCACACATAACAAAACAAATGAATATAATATAAATGTAAACACAGCTTTAATGGTAAATTTAATGTTTGTGTATACTTTGTCTTATTTATTTACTTAGAGTCAGAGTCTTACTATAATAGCTTTGGCTAGTCTGGAAATAATTATAATACACAAGGCTGGCCTTGAACAGCCTACATCTTATTTTGTGTGTGTTGTGTATGTGTGTGTGTGTGTGTGTGTGTGTGTGTGTGTGTGTGTGTGTGTGGCAGAGGAAAGGTCTTATGAAACTGTAGCTGGCCTTCAACTCCTATCTCTATCTCTCAACTGGTGGAATTATAGGGGTGTGCCATAATGTTCCCCTTACCACCATTTTTTTGGTTGGTTGGTTTTGGTTGGGTTTTTGTTTGTGTGTTTGTTTTACAGTGTTTCTCTGTGTAGCCCTGATGGTCCTAGAACTCCCTCTGTAGACCAGGCTGGCCTTGAACTCACAGAGATCCACCTTCATGTCTCCTGAGTGCTGGGATTAAAGGCGTGTGCCACCACTCCAACTGATTGTCTTATTTTTTAAATGTTTTTGAACGTAGACAATTTCCCTATACTTTACCCCTTTTCCCCTTACAGGGAATAATTACAAACTGTTCTGTACTTTATCAGATTTTTTAACACTTATAGATTACAGAATCACCACCACAATCAAGCTATAGAATATTTCCTCAAGTCTTCAATATTGCCTTCTTGGGGCTGTCTTTTTGGGAGTCCCTTCCCTCCAAGTACCAACTGTGCTAGAAAATTGACTGACACACCTTGGTAAAAGTGTATCCAGAGGAGAATATATGAAGTGTTTCTGGTCTTCATTAACAAATCACTGCTCCGCTTCCACACCTCAACAGGAGGCCGGGAATTAAAGTCCATAGATGAGACTGGAAAAAGTACAAGATCATTAAATTAATTACAGTTTTTCCTGGTAGTTGTAAGTCAGTGATGTGGTTAGTGACTAAACTTTAGTGTTATTTTAGGTGGAAGTATGGGTAGGACAGTGCCTAAGCCCTAGAAAGGACTCTATAGTTCTGTTACTTGAAATATATGTGAAATGCTATCTTCTATTTAAGATCCAGTGTTCTATGGGACAATAATAGATTGTGTTGGTGAAGTGTGACAAGGGTAATTGGTAGATATAGAGACTACATCACATAGGGACACTGGGAAAATCTAAAACTGCTGAGATGATTGGTCTATTTTTTTGTTTCTATACCAGAATATTTAAAGCTAAATAACTTTGAAGAAAAGAGGTTTATTTAGAGCAAAGGTTTCTTAAACTTTTTCCACTGTGACTCTCTTTGCCCAAGAAATTTTTTTTGTAGCCCCAGGTGTATAGGTACATAAAATAATACACAAACCAAATATTTATTGATAATAAATCATTAAAAATTTACCTTACAACAATTCTTTGATATACATGTAATTTCAGCATTTATTAATAAATAATAAACGTATTATGTATTAAAGATGGTAGCAGATTTTACACATTAATGAGATGGGGTGTGCTTGTTAATTTTCACATAAAGAAATCTTGGCTGAAAATAGGTTGTAGGGAATTTTCAGAGTTTACTTTTATTTATTTATTTTTTTAAAAAAGTTTTTGTTTTTGTTTTTTTTTGTTTTTAAGTTTCTTGAGACAGGGTTTCTCTATATAGTTTTTGGAGCCTATCCTGGAACTCGCTCTATAGCCCAGGCTAGCCTCAAACTCACAGAGATCCACCTGCCTCTGCCTCCCAAGTGCTGGGATTAAAGGCGTGCGCCACCACTGCCAGAGTTTATTGATAGTTTGATTTCATGATTTCATACTTGTCAATGATGAGAACTCCGCACCACAGAAATATGGAGTACAAAATGGCGGAAATATGTTTGCGATTTCAGAAGCTCTTGGCATTTCTGTTCTAATCTCAATATACAATTCATTGAATGATGTTTTTATGAAACCCAAGTCAATTTTTAAAACCAAAGATTCTACCATATTACAATTCAGAGATACACTAATTTGGGTTGGCAAGATGGTTCAGTGGGTAAAAGCACAACACAAGCCTTAACAACTTGAGTTCGCTTTCTAGAGCTCCAAGTGGAAAGAGAAAATTTTCCTGAAAGTTGTCCACTGACACATGCATTCCTACTTGCACACACATCAGACACATACACAAAATAATATTAAATACATTTAAACATCAAGACCAACTCTCCCATCCAACAAAACCAAAGATATACTAATTCGAATACATACCAAGGAATGAGTTAGGAAATATTAACAGCCTTAGTTTTTCATAATTAGATCATTACGAATCTAGAAAAGCAGCAAGCTGTATGTACAGGAAAATGCCACAGTTTATAATAGTCTGTTGTCATGAATCCGAGCTGAAGTGTTCCAGGCAGCATGTGTTGGTGCTTCATGTTGCACCAACATGTGCAGTGCAAAGCGTGTACGTGTATTCAGACTGCATCCATGACTGAGGTGAAGTGCCGCATGCAATACTGGGGAGCTCTGTCAGAGTCACCTCAGGTTCCTCATGCATCTGATTTTGAATTCGTTTTTGGATGTTGCATGTTTAGTTTTTCAGAGCCCCCACATTCATTTACTGAGCCCCCCCCCCCTTTTTCTAACCCTAAACTCACAGTTAAGGAAGCTGTGGTTAGATCTCAGCGCTGGTGGTTCACATGCCTCCATTTTGATGATAGTCACACAAGGTGACACAGTATTAGGTGATGAAAGATGAGAAGTGTGTCTCCTTTGGTTTCTTATGAAGCCACCAGATTCACTCATGGAACTCCACCCTCATGACTTTCTAATCCTAATCACCTCTTCAAGACTACGTAATTGGATTAAATTTCTACCCCAAAATGAGAATTACATTTCAACTCACAAATCCTTGAGCGACACATTCAAACCATATCCAAACAGCAGTTAGCAACTGGGGCAGTATTAAGGGGAGGAAATGACATTGTCACAGACTAAATATTTAAAAGACTTGTGTAGGAAAGAACTCAGTTTGTTATAGCTCCATAAAGACCTTGAACTTAAATCCAGCAAGATCTGAGAAATACTCAGAATGTGCTGCGTATCTTAGAACCATGGGTCAGGGAGGGGCACTGAGTGAAAGCTGTCAGGGTCATCACATGAGAGGCTATGGCTGATGTGAACTTAAGTGTGCATGTCCTCTCCTGACAATCCCACAGATTACTCGGGTCAAGGAGTCGACCAGCTGCAAAAAGTGATTGACACCATCAAAACCAACCCTGATGACAGAAGAATCATCATGTGTGCCTGGAACCCAAAAGGTGGACAGCAGCCTCATCATCTTCCTTTGGATAAACTGGCCAGTTAGCCAAAGGGAAGCAAGGTGGCTTGAGGCACTATAGGGCACCGGAACCATCTCCAGTCATGTGGTTGATCGTGTACCCTTGGGCAACCTAATCACACTCTGCTCCACTTTGGGTAGACCCGCATGATTTTTATCCATTTATATGAAAGGTGCTAAATGGCCTGTAAAAACACACCTATGGTTTAAATGAAGATGAAGTTTCAAGTGCTAACTTGAAACCAAATTATAAAATTAAACTCTGCCAGGGTGTAGTGAGTACTCAGGAAAGGACATTTCGTATTTCTAATGGAGACTTAAAAGGCCAGTTTCGTATGGCCTTTGCAAATGAAGTAATTTTCCTTTTATTTGGTGCCATCAACAGTAGCCCAGATCCTTAATTTTAGCTCGGATGAAAGAGCATGGCTTCAGCATAAATGTAAACTTGCAGATACCTTAAGCTAATGGACAAGCTTCCATTACCTTCCATTACCGCTGCTGCAGGGTTGGGGAAATGGTCTGACTTTGACATAGTGGGAAGGTGTGAGCTGTGGGTGTCTGTAAGTTAGTAGCTTTTTTTCATGGTGGGCTTCTGTTTTCTGTTTCACCTTTTTAATAGCTCTGCTCTCTAAAACCCCTGCTTGTTTTACCATTGACTCCTCAGATCTTCCCCTGATGGCACTGCCTCCCTGCCATGCCCTCTGTCAATTCTATGTGGTGAATGGGGAGCTGTCTTGCCAGCTTTACCAGCGGTCGGGAGATATGGGCCTGGGCGTACCCTTCAACATTGCCAGCTATGCCCTGCTCACCTACATGATTGCACACATCACAGGCCTGAAGGTGAGCAGCTTTCAGAAGGCATGGTTGTAGCCAATGTAATGTACCGAGCTCATAGCAGGGAATTCAGTCTGATTAGTATTAAAATTTCATGCAAATGTTATGAAAAATTTATGTAAATAAGACATGTACTGGCGGTCACCTTATAACCCTCCTTGGAGCTTTCTGGCACCTTGTTTGCCTATGGAAACGAACATTCATATAAGTTGCTGTGTATGTGTATGTGGGGGGCCCACATGTTCCCCAGTGTGTACATAGCGATGAGAGCACAATTGCATGAGTCATTTCTCTTCCTCCATGTGGGTCCCAGGGATCAAGCTCAGTTTGTCAGGCTTGTGCCTCTACCCACTGAGCTTTCTCACTGGCCCCTAATCTGTTTTAAAATGTGTTTTAAAAGAATTTAAACTAAAATATTGACTGTTGTGTTCTCTCCTGTGGGACATTTTTAGCCAGGTGATTTTGTCCATACTTTGGGAGATGCACATATTTACCTGAATCACATCGAGCCACTGAAAATTCAGGTAAGACAGACCCGTTACATTTCTTTTTGAGCTTGGTGTCTTCTCTTGACAAAAGATTGGACGGCGGGGCATCCTTTGTATCACAGGCACTCTAGTTGATGCTGTCTTATTGAAGTGCTCCAACTGCAGGGCTTTTACAAAGGGAGATGAGCAGGGATGAGGCCATTATCAGCCTTAGCAACCACAAGCACAGAGCATGGTAAGGTAATAAACCCCAGTATCAGAGAGAAGAGTCAGGAGATATGGCATTTTAAGTCATATTTTTCCTTGAAGAGCTGAAAATAAATGTTTGACTTTAGTTTGATGCTTAAGTACAGTACTTAGGTCTAAACTTTAAAAAGCCTGTTTTTTTTTTTTTTTTTTTGGTTTTTCGAGACAGGGTTTCTCTGTGTAGCTTTGCGCCTGTCCTGGAACTCACTTGGTAGCCCAGGCTGGCCTCGAACTCACAGAGATCCGCCTGGCTCTGCCTCCCGAGTGCTGGGATTAAAGGCGTGCGCCACCACCGCCCGGCAAAAAAAAAAAGCCTGTTTTTTAAATTCTTTTCAAATTCCTATAATATAGCAGCCAACAAATGAATTGAAATGGTAGTAAGAATATGAGTGTCCATGTTTTGTGAACACTAGAGAGAAAATTTAGACTCAGAAAAGTAAACAACTGTGTCCCTATGTCTAATATATTTATCAGGAGTTATCTGGTGGCTTCAGCCTGTAATCACAGCTACTTAAGAGGCTACAGCAGGAGCATTCCAAGTTCAAGGCTTGCCTGGGCTACAGAGTGGGTTGAACATAAGCCTAGATAACTAGCCAAGACCCTGTCTCAGAATAAAAAGTAAACAAAGCTGGGCTATAGCTTGATGGCAGATTACTTATGTAGCTCTCATGAGGCCCTAGGTGCAATCCCTAATGTTGCAGAAAAAAAAAAGACAGTACAGTAATGCACTCCTGTGAAATAGTACTTTGTGATAAAATAAAATACTGTGTTGGGAACAAACGTAAAATAATACCATGATTTTATTTTTAGCTTCAGCGAGAGCCAAGACCTTTCCCAAAGCTCAAAATCCTTCGAAAAGTTGAGACAATTGATGATTTCAAAGTTGAAGACTTTCAGATTGAAGGTTATAATCCACATCCAACGATTAAAATGGAAATGGCTGTTTAGAGTTCTTTCAAAGATGGTGTGAATATTACCAGAGTTTGAGCCTGATGCCAGGGTAAGATAAGTTTTTCTCTAAAGGAAAATAAACTTAAAACTCTGACGGTGATCTAACTATTTATAACTATCATCACTGGCATTTAGAACTGCCTTTCCTTTAGTATTCACTGAGGTACATAAAAAAGCTGAGATTATATACTCAGCAAAAACAACCAGGCAGGGGTTGGGGATTTAGCTCAGTGGTAGAGCGCTTGCTAGAGGCCCTGGGTTTGGTCCTCAGCTCTGGAAAAAAAAAAGTGTAAAAAAAACCAACCAGGCATTTATATATATCTATATGAAGACGGCTGGTGAAATTTCAGATTGTTATTCCTCTAAACTTGAACTATGTTATGTTTACTTATAAATGTTTTATATGCTGTAGTAATAAACTGTTTTGCAAATTTGTCGGTTTAAAATTTTCAAATTAGTTTTTATTAGTGTGTGTGTGTTTGTGTATGTGTGTGTATAGGTCAGAGCACAAATTTGAGGGAGTTTGGTTAGGCTTGGTGACAGGCTCAAGTTTCTGACTGAAATAGATTGACCTAAAAACCCTAAGCCTTCATTAGCTTGTTGTTGAGACAGGGTCTCATGTATCCCAGGCTGGCCTCAAACACACTCTGTAGCTGAGGATGACTTTATTCCTCATCCTCCTGACTCTTCCTAGTGGCTGGGATTGTAGGCATGTATTGGAGATTGAACCCAGAATTTCCTGTGTGCTAGGCAAGTACTCTACCAAGTTAGCCACATCCCCAGCCCTCTTGGTTTTGTCTGTCTGTCTGTTTGGCAGCATCTTATCTACCCAGGCTGGCCTGGAACTCACTGTGTAGCCTAGGCCTGATAGTTAAATTATATTTAGTAAGGTCGACTAAACTTTTTTCCTCCTATTTTCCCACAGTGTACTTCAGTATAGTCACATTTTATTTGAAAATATAATGACCACTTAAGATGGTTAGGGGTCTGTGGGTCACTCAGAGATTTGCCATGACTGTCTTAGTTAGGGTTTCTATGGCTGTGAAGAGACACCATGACCATGGCAACTCTTATAAAGAAAAAGGGGTGGCTTGCTTATGGTTTAGAGGTTCAGTCCATTATCACTATGGTGGGACATGGCAGAGTGCAGGCAGACATGGTGCTGTACTGGTAGCTGAGAGTCCTACATCTTGTAGGCAACAGGAAGTAGTCTGCGACAGTGAGACTTTGAGCATAGGAGACCTCAAAGCCCGCCCCTACAGTGACACGCTTCCTCCAACAGGCCACACCTAATAGTGCCACTCCCTTTGGGGGCCATTTTCTTTCAAACCACTACAATGACCGTGAGTAAATTTCAATAGGATGCTTTTAATTTCTGGCACCTGGAATGATTGGGACCCGGTCTGCACCTGAGAGTGCTCCCAAGATGCAGCATTCTAGCCGTATCAGCCCAGAGCTCATTAAGGCAAAAACCACAAGATTACATGTATTCTGCCTACCAGTAGGCAGGGTCTAATTCTTAACATACATGTCTTGCAGTTGCCCCAGTCATCTTTTTGAGCAGAGCAAGCAGGTTTGATTACAAAAGCCAAAATAGCAGTTAGTCTTACGACCTATTATCTTGTTAGAACAGCAGTTTTTACAAGATCAGTCAATTTAAGAATCTTCAACATCCGGTAAAAAAAAAAAAAAAAAAAAAAAAAATGATGGGGGGGGGGGCTTTACATGCCAGAGGCATTTTTTGTTGTTATATATACACCTATCTTAACCATAGTAATTAAACCTTAAATGTAATGTTAACCATCAGAAGGTTTTAAATCACATTTTAAGGTTTTGTTTCTTGGTGGTTGTGGTGGTACGGGGACATGTCTCACACTTTGGCCCAGCTGGTCTGGAGCTAGTATGTACCTTAGGCTAGCCTCAGACTTACGGTACTACTCCAGTTTCAGCTTCCTGCATGCTGAGATTACAAGTTGGAGTTCCCATGCCTGGCTAAGATAGTTTTTTAAGAGTTATGAAAGCGTGAAGAAATACCATTTGTCCCCGTTAATTTCAGTGAGGTGTGGATTCCCTAAAATGCTTGGACTGATAACAGAAGGGATGCTATTTCAGGACAAATGAGTGAATCTTTTTTTTTTTTTTTTTTTTTTTTTTTTTTTTCTGCTTTCCCAGATTCCTTACAGTGATGCAGAACCAGTTTTATTCTGATTTATGACAAGTGTTAGAATGAGGAATTATTATGAAACATTGCTTATTTTCAAATTATAATTTAATATCTAGCACTTGATAGAGATTTACCATCTTCCTGGGCTTTGGGTTAGGTACATTTGCTTTAGAATTAAAAAAAAAAAAAAAAAAAAGAATATTGACTTGTTGACCATCCACCATGATGACAGCTGATTCCTGAGGTGAGTATGACCTGCAGCTAGACTTGATTTTTCTTCTATTTTTATAAAGCGCCAGAATTTTAAGCATTTCCACTTCAGAAAAAAAAAAGTGTTAAGGCTGACTACATGAATCCTGAGCAACGAGGAGTTTCTTCCAGACTTCTCCATCTGGGTATTGGTGTTTCTTTACGGATTCCTCCTTCATTTCTGTTGAGTAGCCTGCATCCTAGCAAAGACAACAACAGGTTGAGACATGTTAACACTGGTTTCTGCTGCTGCTAGAAATGCTTCTAAATCTAATCCAGAGGTAGTTCTGTATTTAAGAAATTAAGTTGAGGGGCTGGAGAGATGGCTCAGCAGTCGAGAGTGCTTGCTGCTCTTCAAAAAGCCCAGTGCGGTTCCCAGCACCTACCTCAGGCAACTCACAACCTCTGATCCCAGTTCCAGGGGATTCCCTCCTTTGGCCTACCAGGGTGCTATACTCATGTGCACATACCCACACACATACATATAATTAAAAATAAAGCTTTCAAATCAAAGGGTTTTTGTTTTTTAAAGAGGACAGAGGGCCACACTATTGGCTACTTACCTGGATTGCTAGTGAAACTAAAACTTTGATACCTTAAATCTGTTGGTGAAAATGAGCCATAATCTGGACAAAATCAGGATAAATGGTCCAGGTCACAAAACTGTAGTCAAAACCTTTCGGTCACTAGGGTGCAGATGGTGCTGGCTTTGGGGCAGAAGGAATGTGTTTTGAGGGCTCAGCAACTGCTGAAATATGACCATAGCTCTGTGTCTTAGGATTTCTATTGTCCTGATAAAACTGACCACAAAGCACCTTGGGGACAAAATGATTTATTTCAGCTTACATCTCTCAGGTCACACTCCATCACCAAGGGAAATCAAGACAGGAGCTCAAGAGGGGAGGACCTAAGGAAGGAACTGAAGTAGAAACCACTGCGGAATGCTACTTACTGCCTTATTCCTCATGGCTTGCCAGTCTGCCTTCTTTTTGGGGGGGTGGGGGTGGGAGGGGTTGAGACAGGGTTTCTCTGTGTACTTTCAGTGCCTGTCCTAGATCTTGCTCTATAGACCAGGCTGGCCTCGAACTCACAGAGATCTGCCTGACTCTGCCTCCCGAGTGTGGGGATTAAAGGCTGCGCCGCCAACGCCCAGCTCAGTCTGCCTTCTTATATCATCTAGTACTACACCTGTCCAGGGGTGGCACTGTCCCTAGTAAGCTGCACTCACCCATATCAGTCTTGCCCGAAGACCAGTCTTCTTGATTTTTTTCTCAATTGAGGTTCCCTCTTCCAAAATGACTCTAGCTTATGTCAGGTTGTCATAAAACTAGCTTCCCACTGACCAAAAACTTAAAGATTTGATACTCATCACTAGAAAGCCATTTGTTTCTAGATGTTGAAAAATCAACTCTTAAAGAATTGTCAAGGCTTTGTGGTCCCTGTTCAGCGGCACAATGGCTGATGGTAGAACGTCTGCGTCATGTCCTAGGTCACAACTTACCTTGGGAGGCAGATAGGAAGCATGCTTGATGACCACGGGATACTTGAAATGTTCATGCAGATGGTCCACATATTCGCACATCCTAGGACATTGGAGCGTTAGTGCCTGAAGTTAGGTAACTCAATGAGCTAGTAACTGTGAAAGCAGAAGTGTCCTTAAATGGTAGGTGGAGGAGATGGCTCACTGGGCTTTACAAAAATGAAGACCTGGGTTTGACCTCTGTTTTAGACAAGGTTGGGAGGTAAAGACTAGCATCTGAGGTTATCCTTTGACCACAACTGTGCCTGCATTCAATATCTCACACTCTCTCTCTCTCTCTCTCACACACGCACACACACACACACACACACACACACACACACACACACACACACACACACACAACCTTTTTGCAACAGGTGCGGCAGGACCTGGGGTTGCAGCTCCACGTTAGTAGAGCTCTTGGCTTGGATAAGATCCTAGGTTCAGTCCCCAAGGCTTAGCTGTTAATATATATTTCTTGTGAGTCATTCTGTGAGGTACTTCCATCTCCCAGACATATGTAAGAGCTGAGATATACTGTGAAGTGACCCTGAAGGTTTTGTAGTACCCCGACAGCACTTCAGATTCCAGACACCTCGGATTATTGTGGTGGCTAAGGCCAAATGTCAGTTAACTCGATTAAACTGCCAAATGAGGTTCCTTCCATTTATACCGATGATTAGGTGAAAAGCACAGGTTTTGGAATTGGGTCAGTCTGTTCAAATTCTGTATGCCAGTGTCCGGTCCTGTGGGCAGGTGCCATACACTAAAGGGTGGGTATTTCCTTAGTCTCCTGATAACGTGATGACACATAATAAGATGTGCACCAGGATGTACCACTGTTGTGTGGCAGATCTTAGGAGATTAAAGGCTCCCATTTTGGAGTGAAACTTATTAAGTCAGAATGTTTTAGTGAAGTGAACCAACAGGGTGGAAAACACTGCAGGGAAGCTGTAATAGGAATCTTAAAGGTCTTATTAATAAAAACAAACCCGGAGCCAGGTATTGGGGTGAAAGATCAGAGAAGCACAACAGGCCACAGCTAACCCGCCTCACCAACTTCTCAGCTGATCCTGTTTCCTCAGACTGGAAGCTTCTGTGTCCTCATCCAAATGGATCTCAGCTGAACTGCTGCTCAAAAGTCTAAAAGCTTAACCAGGCTCCAGTTCCTGGTTTTCATGTCTCATGTACCTTTCTGCTTCCTGCCATCACTTCCTGCGATTAAAGGCGTGAGTCACCATGTCTGGCTGTTTCCAGTGTGGCTTTGAACTCACAGAGATCCAGATGGACCTCTGCCTTTGGAATGCTAAGATTAAAGGTGTGTGTGCCACCATTTTCTGGCCTCTGTATCTAGTGGATGTTCTGTTCTCTGACCCCAGATAAGTTTATTAGGATGCACAATATATTGGGGGACACAATATATCACCACAGGAATGAGATGTGCTCACTAGGAGATGAAGTAAACAACTCAAAGTAGCTTCAGGA